ATACGTTATATTGCGTCTATATATCCAATTTATGTATGCCTATACAAATATATGTCTATGAATACATGTCTAATATATATGTATATATATATATATATATATATATATAATATATGTATATATGCGTGTGTGGTGTGTGTGTGTGTGTGTGTGTGTGTGTGTGTGTAAATGTGTGCATAAGTAAATATGTATATGTGTATATATGAATATGATTATATTTTTGTATGTGCATATCTTCTAGTGCATTTTACCTCAAATATTAAGGTTTGATCGAAGAATTACAATTATTTTTAATCATTTGTTAACTTTTTTTTGTGTGTGTGTATCGAAGATTAGTTGAGTAAGAAGACCCAAGTGTTATTCCTTCCTCCTGATATCTTTCCTCTCCTTGCAGTGTATAAGGGTCACGTTACAGTGAAAAATGATAGGACTCTCGATCGTGTGGCGTTGTAATATATTGTGTTGAGATGTGGGTTTTAATTCATTCGTTCAAATACACTGCAGAGAAGGTTCTATGAACATGATCTTTCGCCTCTTCATTACTGTCATCTTTATAACTTATCTTTTACTGCTATGTGTGATAATGAAGATAATACAGTTGGAATGGTAATGGCAATGATTACCATTGATTAGCTATTTTCTTGTTTCGTTTCTATTATCTTCGTCTTTAATATAATGCCATCAATGTCGATAAGTTTAATTTTAGTAATGTTGTCATACTACCAATCCTATAATTACTTTACCACTGTTGATTACTGTTGCTGAATTTCATTATCTGCTATTTCATAAATTTCTATTTGCACATTGACGCCTAAATAGTAAAGATATTCTGAAATATGCTATATGGTTATTCCTTTTCCTTCTATTTTATAAGGAAAAAGTGCAATCACAAATATTTTTCACAAGGATTTACGAGAATGAAATTTACGTAAATTGAAGGATATTGAGATCAAAAGCAGGATTTTTCTTGACTTTTTACACGCCACAAAATCGAAGGACATTGAAGCAACCATACAAGCTTCCTCACTGCTTGTTTCAGAATACTTTAGGTCTGCAGTAAAGGGGAAGAAAATCATGACAAAAGATATATTGGTAGGTAAGAGATAAGAGAAGATAGAAAAAAAGGATAAATAGGTTGGTTGCAAGAGAACGAGGGGGACAGGGAGAAGGAGAGAGAGAGGGAAAGGAAGAGGGAGGCTGAGGGAGAGATAGAGGAATAGTGAGAAATAGAAAAGGAGAGATGGAGTGGGAGAGAGAGAGAGGAAGAATGGGAGGGGCAGAGAGAGAGAGAGAGAGAGGGGGGGAGGTGGGGGGAGAGGGAGGCAAGGAGAGAGATAGAGCGAGAGAGAGAGGGAGAGAGGAAGAAGAGGGAGACGGAGGGAGAGAGAGAACGGGTGGGGAAGGAGAAGAAGAAAGAGACCAGGAGTGGAAGGAGAAGAAAAAAGAACGAGAGGAGAATAATAAGAAGAGAATTAAAAGGAAAATGAGAAGGAAGGAGGGAATAAAAAAGGGAGAGAAATGTGAGGAGAATATACATATATGATAACATAGAAGGAGGCTGGGAGACAAAAAAAGAGAAATTTCACACGAATACAGGCGGAGAGAGAAAGAAGAATGAAAAAGGCACATAAATAGAAAGGGGTAGAGGGGAGAGTAGAAGAAGAGGGCGAGCACACATAAGCAGTTACAGGCACACACACACATAAACACACAAGCACACATACACACACGAGAGAAATTTTGCGTTCATGTGGATATGAGTCTAATAATAATTGAGAAAGCAGCAAAGGCCCCCCAAGGAAATATTTATTGTTTTTGTTCACCCAGCCAAGCAGTGCGGGTTAGTTTTTACAGCCTTGTTGTAAGGCTTCGATAATATGCATTGTATCATGTATGTCTTGACAGATAGAAAGACTGGTAGATAGGTAAGTAGGTAGGTAGGGAGGCGGGTAAAAAGAGACATATAAACAGATGTGTACATATATAGATAGATAGATGGAAAGAATGAGAGATGGACAGATGAATTAATAGTTAGATAGCTAGTTGAAATAGTTTCATTTTTCTCACCTTAATTTCGAGCATCAAAAATAACTGTCATATGAAGAAAGATCCTTTAATGGATATTCTCCACCAACAATAATGACATTTTTCATACCAATGTTTATCGAAAACCAACTTTCGTTAGCCTCGGTCTTCGCTTGCTCAGCTGTACCTCATGAATATGCACGAATAGAGAAGCATGAAATTACAATTCGCATTTATTTTCAGAATATTGAAAAAACTCCAAAACACCATCTCCACTACCAAAAGAAATTCAAAAATATGTGAAACTACCATATATTGATAATTCAAAACTGATATCAGAAAACAATAATAAAAAAAGGTTTATAAAGGAATCACCCTCAGATTAAATTCATCTTTGTTTATACCAACACACGTTTTTTTTTTTTTTTTTTTTTTTTTTTTAACTCATAAAACAACCAGTGAACTACAGGTCTGACCCGTGTTCGAATGCAGTGTGCTTCTCCACCTGTCCTAACTGCCTTGCTACGGAGGTGGAATCACAAAGGGAAATAAGAACGCAATGGAAAGGGTTTCCGGACTGGCCTCCCGCTGAGCAGGCCATCTTTCTCGAAAATGAGAGAGGAAAGCATATGAAAATTGCCTAGAATCGTTGACATATTTTATAACTTAATATATAACATTACTAATATTTCAGGTCATGTTTGGTTTTAGGTTTGAACTATAAATGACATTTGTCAAATATGCTTTCCATTTTCAAATATATATATAAATATTTACATATGTATATATCTATATCTATTTATCTCTCTCTCTCTCTCTCTCTCTCTCTATATATATATATATATATATATATATATATATATACATATATAATATATATATATATATATATATATATATAATATATATATATATATGTGTGTATATATTTTCCTGGTAAGAGCGTTTTGATTATGGGAGACAAGTACAGATTTCTAAAAGGGAGTTTAGGCATGATGGCCTGCCTCTGTTTTAGCAGGAGGGAACATATAAAATTAAAGATCGCAATCATATACTATATGACTTTTTTTTTAGTTATCAGCGTACCACGTGAACAATGTTTAAGGTCCTGTTCGTATTTAGGGTTTAACGATAAATGACGTTTTTTTTTTTTTTTTTACGTCTGTGTTCAAAGTCAGATATGCATTCCATTGTACACTACATATGCTGATCTGCTGACAGCAATGTTAGCAAGGAGAGGAAATGGAGTTTCCGATTGGAAAAGTTTATTGTATCTTTTTCGAAGGAATTCCTTAGATGACACACCACGGCTCCTGTTGCACGTTGTCCATTATGTCTCGGCTCAGTAATAGAGGGAACGATAAACAGAAGGACGATGAAGAGAAGTATGTGCGTAAGAGACAGGAGAGTACAGGTGGGATGGCTCTGCCTCAGGCTCAGCAGACCTCTTGTAGATGTGTCGGCCGTAAGCTGGAAGTGGAGCGTATGGAAGGTAAGGGAGATAGCCCCGAGAAGCCTCAGCCTCGGCTTCTGGCTCAGCAGACCTCTTGTGGAACCGGTGACCATGGTATCCTCCGTAGGCTACGGGGAAGGGAGAATAGCTTCCGTGGGAGTAAAGTCGAGAAGCTTCAGCGTCAGCAGCCCTTTTGTGGAGTGTGTGAACGCTGTGTCCATACACGCCATACACAGGAGTGCGGATGACGGCCCTGACGCCATAAAGAGTGGAAGGCTCAGCGTCTGCGGATCTCTTATGGTAGTGAGTCGGGAAGGATGGTCCATAGGAGTATCGAGGATAGAGTGGAGTTCTGTAGCCGGAGTGAGGAATCACGCTGGGCTCCGCCTCTCGCTTCTCGACTTCGGAAGCGCAAACGGCAGCCGCCAGGAGCACAAACGCCTGAAAGTAAGTTCAGACAAGTTGTAGATCTGCTGTAGTCAATAACAGAAATCAAGTGAAAACCCTCCACTGTACTCACCAAGTACTTCATCTTGGGTTAAGCAGGCTTGTTGTGGCCACAACAGAGGAGTGTGTGTGAGTAAGATCTTGTGGAATGGTTTATATAGGTCGCTTCTGACCTTGCAGTGAGTGGAAAGTGCAAGTCAGATGTTGCATTTTGCTTGCGTTCTTATGTTTATTTCTTTTGTCGAGAAAAAAAAAGGCTTATCTAAGGAAGAGACTGGGGACCTGATTATAGATATGGTAAAAGGTGTTGGTAAGCAAATAAAATCAGAATCAAAGGAAATTGATATAAAAAAGGAACATTCTTTCTCTTGAGCTTTTACACGCCACAAAATCGAAGGGCAAGTAAAAATATTGGCAGATAATAGAGATAGAGATATAAAGATGGTTGAAAGTGATCAAGGGGAGCAGGGAGATGAAAACAGAGAGGGAGAGGTAGAGGAAGAGGAAGACAGAAGGAGAGGAAGAGAGAGGGAGAGAGGAAGAGGGACGCGTGGAGAGGGAAAGTGATGAGAAGAGATAGAAGAAAGGGGGAAATAAGAGAAGAAGGAGAGAAAGGAGAAGAGAGAGGGAGAGGGGGGATGAGACAAAGAGGGAAGCATGGAGAGGGAGACAGATAAGGGGGAGGGGGGGGGAACACACGCACGCACACAGAAAATAAAATAAAATCACACACACAGTGACATACACAAACGCAATTACACAAAATCACAATCATACATGCCTATACGCACAAGCACACATACACACAAGAATTTCGTGTGCATGTGGATAAGTCTAACAATAACTGAGAAAGCCTCAAATTCCCCCCAATGAATATTATTGATTTTGTTCGCATGGCCAAGCAGTGCTGGTTAACTGTTACACGTTGTAAGGCCACGATAATATGCATAGTATCATGTATGTCTTGATATATAAACTGAGAGACGGGTAAGTAAATGAGCCGGCAGGCAGGCAAAAAGAAATAGACATATAAACAGATATATGTATGTGTATATATAGAGAGGAAGGAAGAGAAATGGGCAGATGAATTAATAGATGGATAGCTAGTTGGAGTAGGTTAATAGATAAATAGACAAAGTATTTAAATGTGTATATACATATACATACATACATATATATATATATATATATATATATATATATATATATAGAGAGAGAGAGAGAGATGGATACATACATTTATACATAGCTGAATGGATAGTGAGGTAAATTGGTGATCTTTGTGTTTATAATCACAGTGAAACATTCTTCACATAAATCATTTTCTCACTTTAATCCCGAGCATTAAAAATAACTGATATGAAAAAATACCTTTAATGGATACTCACCAATAATAATGACATTTTTCATACTAATGTTTACCGAAAACCAACCTTCGCTGTCCTAGGTCTTCGATTCCTCAGCTATACCTCATGAATATACACAAATAGAAAAACCTGAAAGTGCAATTCGTATTTATTTTCAAAATATTTACAATAAAAAAAAACTCCAAAAAACATCCCACTGCCAAAAGAGATCCTAAATAAGTGAAACTACCATATATTGATAAGGCAAACTCTGACATCAGAAAACAATTAAAAATATCTTTATAAGGCAATCGACCTCAGATTAAATTTATCTTTGTTTTAGCAACACACTCAAAGCTCATAAAACAACCAGTGAACTACAGGTCTGACCCGTGTTCGAATGCAGTGTGCTTCTCCACCTGTCCTAACTGCCTTGCTACGGAGGTGGAATCACAAAGGGAAATAAGAACGCAATGGAAAGGGTTTCCGGACTGGCCTCCCGCTGAGCAGGCCATCTTTCTAGAAAATGAGAGAGGAAAGCATATGAAAATTGCCTAGAATCGTTGACATATTTTATAACTTAATATATAACATTACCAATATTTCAGGTCATGTTTGGTTTTAGGTTTGAAATATAAATGACATTTGTCAAATATGCTTTCCATTTTCCGTATATATATATATATATATATATATATATATATATATATATATATATATGTGTATATATTTTCCTGGTAAGAGCGTTTTGATTATGGGAGACAAGTACAGATTTCTAAACGGGATTTTAGGCATGATGGCCTGCCTCTGTTTTAGCAGGAGGGAAGCATATGAAAATTGCGAAGAATCGCAATCATATACTATATGACTTATTTTCTTCTATGTTATCAGCGTACCACGTGAACAATGTTTAAGGTCCTGTTTGTATTTAGGGTTTAACGATAAATGACGCTTTTGTTTACGTCTGTGTTCAAAAACAGTCCAATACATTCCATTGTAAACTTCATATGTTGATCTGCTGACAGCAATGTTAGCAAGGAGAGGAAATGGAGTTTCCGATTGGAAAAGTTTATTGTATCTTTTTCGAAGGAATTCCTTAGATGACACACCATGGCTCCTGTTGCACGTTGTCCATTATGTCTCGGCTCAGTAATAGAGGGAACGATAAACAGAAGGACGATGAAAAGAAGTATGTGCGTAAGAGACAGGAGAGTACAGGTGGGATGGCTCTGCCTCAGGCTCAGCAGACCTCTTGTAGATGTGTCGGCCGTAAGCTGGAAGTGGACGTATGGAAGGTAAGGGAGATAGCCTGAGAAGCCTCAGCCTCGGCTTCTGGCTCAGCAGACCTCTTGTGGAACCGGTGACCATGGTATCCTCCGTAGGCTACGGGGAAGGGAGAATAGCTTCCGTGAGAGTAAAGTCGAGAAGCTTCAGCGTCAGCAGCCCTTTTGTGGAGTGTGTGAACGCTGTGTCCATACACGCCATACACAGGAGTGCGGATGACGGCCCTGACGCCATAAAGAGTGGAAGGCTCAGCGTCTGCGGATCTCTTATGGTAGTGAGTCGGGAAGGATGGTCCATAGGAGTATCGAGGATAGAGTGGAGTTCTGTAGCCGGAGTGAGGAATCACGCTGGGCTCCGCCTCTCGCTTCTCGCTTCGGAAGCGCAAACGGCAGCCGCCAAGTGCACAAACGCCTGAAAGTAAGTTCAGACAAGTTGTAGATCTGCTGTAGTCAATAACAGAAATATAATCAAGTGAAAACCCTCCACTGTACTCACCAAGTACTTCATCTTGGGTTAAGCAGGCTTGTTGTGGCCACAACAGAGGAGTGTGTGTGAGCAAGATCTTGTGGAATGGTTTATATATGTCGCTTCTGACCTTGCAGTGAGTGGAAAGTGCAAGTCAGATGTTGCATTTTGCTTGCGTTCTTATGTTTATTTCTTTTGTCGAGAAAAAAAGGCTTATCTAAGGAAGAGACTGGGGACCTGATTATAGATATGGTAAAAGGTGTTGGTAAGCAAATAAAATCAGAATCAAAGGAAATTGATATAAAAAAGGAACATTCTTTCTCTTGAGCTTTTACACGCCACAAAATCGAAGGGCAAGTAAAAATATTGGCAGATAATAGAGGAGAAGATAGAGATAAAGGTAGATGGGTTGGTTGAAATGATCAAGGGAGCAGGGAGATGAAAAAAGAGAGGGAGAGGTAGAGGAAGAGGAAGACAGAAGGAGAGAGGGAGAGAGGAAGAGGGACGCGGAGAGGAAGTGAGAGAAGAGAGATAGAAAGGGGGAGAAATAATAGAAGAGGGAGAAAAGGAGAAGAGAGAGGGAGAGGGGATGAGAAAGAGGGAAGCATGGAGAGGGAGACAGATAAGGGGGGGGGGGGAGGGACCACACACACACACAGAAAATAAAATAACACACAGTGACATACACAAACGCAATTACACAAAATCACAATCATACATGCCTATACGCACAAGCACACATACACACAAGAATTTCGTGTGCATGTGGATAAGTCTAACAATAACTGAGAAAGCCTCAAATTCCCCCAATGAAATATTTATTGATTTTGTTCGCATGGCCAAGCAGTGCTGGTTAACTGTTACACGTTGTAAGGCCACGATAATATGCATAGTATCATGTATGTCTTGATATATAAACTGAGAGACGGGTAAGTAAATGAGCCGGCAGGCAGGCAAAAAGAAAATAGACATAAACAGATATATGTATGTGTATATATAGAGAGGAAGGAAGAGAAATGGGCAGATGAATTAATAGATGGATAGCTAGTTGGAGTAGGTTGATAGATAAATAGACATAAAGTATTTAAATGTGTATACATACATATATATATATATATATATATATATATATATATATATATATATATAGAGAGAGAGAGAGAGAGAGAGAGAGAGAGATGGATACATACATTTATACATATACATAGCTGAATGGATAGTTAGGTAAATTGGTGGTTGCATGGTTAAATAGATCTTTAGTGTTTATAATCACAGTGAAACATTCTTCACATAAATATTTTCTCACTTTAATCCCGAGCATCAAAAGTAACTGATATGATGAAAAAATACCCTTTAATGGATACTCTCCACCAATAATAATGACATTTTTCATACTAATGTTTACCGAAAACCAACCTTCGCTGTCCTAGGTCTTCGATTCCTCAGCTATACCTCATGAATATACACAAATAGAAAAACCTGAAAGTGCAATTCGTATTTATTTTCAAAATATTTACAATACACGGAAAAAACAACTCCAAAACACCATCTCCACTGCCAAAAGAGATCCTAAATAAGTGAAACTACCATATATTGATAAGGCAAACTCTGACATCAGAAAACAATTAAAACATCTTATAAGGCAATCGACCTCAGATTAAATTTATCTTTGTTTTTAGCAACACACATTTTCCCAAAGCTCATAAAACAACCAGTGAACTACAGGTCTGACCCGTGTTCGAATGCAGTGTGCTTCTCCACCTGTCCTAACTGCCTTGCTACGGAGGTGGAATCACAAAGGGAAATAAGAACGCGATGGAAAGGGTTTCCGGACTGGCCTCCCGCTGAGCAAGACCATCTTTCTCGAGAACAGTAACACTCACATCGTTTCTGTAACAGATTTGAGTGCTTTGTCCTCCCACTGCCCTCGCCAAGACATCATCTTAGAAACCCTCCATATAGTAAAGGTAAAGCCAGAACTGAACAACGCAACACCTTGTTCACCAAACAGACTTTCTCTCGCCACGAACACCCACTTTGGTTAGTTTTCTCGGTCTTTCGTGGGAATCACGCGTCCATAGTTTATTTTGATTACGTTTATGCATTTTGTTTGTATTTTATGTATGTATCTTTGTTGTATTCTACATATATCTGCTTTTTGTATTTATTACTAATATTCG